TTGCATGCAGAAATAAAAATTTGTTTTCTTTGTAGCAGTTCATTGATTTCATAAATGCAACACACTATAGTTTTTTTATGCATAGTATAAAGGTAAAAAACGATATCTGCAGTGTTATCTTCATTTTAGATGTCAAAAGGGTTTTGTGGTTCCCAGTGTTTTCTTTAATGTGGGAAACTGGTCCAACTGGCTGATTGAGTGTTTAAGGCTGCCGATCACTGCCCTAAAGCAAAAAGATTTTGGCTCAAAATACATTTATGGTTGGAGAAAATGACTGAAAAACAAATAGACTTTAAGCCAGAATTATTCTTGTTAGGAATAATAGGAGCAAATTATGAGAAAGACTGTATATATTTAATTCTACACATACTAACTGCAGCAAGAATTGTATTTGCCCAATATTGGAAAAATGAAAATTTACCAACTGAAGAATTAAGAAAATTTTAGAGTGTGCAGAAATGGATAGATTGACTTTAAAGACAAAAGAGAACGAAGACTCAGTGTATTTTAGAACATAGGATAACTTTTATCAATGGCTAGAAAAACGAATTAGAGAGAAAGGAATGTGATATGTAACTTTGAATATAGATTAGCAAGAAGACCATTGAGCGATTAATTAACATATTTTTAATGTAATTATTACTCAGGTTTTTTTATTCTTTAAACACATGAACCCAGACATTATGCTGTTTACTGAATATTGAAAATGTTATTTGTAAAAACCCCAACCACACACACACACACACACATATAAGATGGAAAAATTCTGCAGTGATTTATTTTGGTCTGATATTTTTACCTTTCAAAAATATGGCATTTTAACAGGGGTTTATAGACTTTTTATATCCGCTGTATAGTGTAGAGAACATTTCAAATTTGATAAATTAATTTAATGCGGTGCTCCAAATGACTCAATGCCATATTTACATTAGGTAGACCTTGGTCATAGCCAAGAATTAACCCTTTCCAATTCACAATTAATATGATTTGACCTCACCTTCCTCATCTTCCTCATCAAAACCATCTATTTCAGCATCTGAATCAGAAGCCTCTTTATCTTCCTGATCATATCCATCCAGATATGTGAGCTGTGGAAGAAGTGTGAAGACACACACTCGGTAGTCATCTAGATTTGTTACCTCACAGTTGTACAGGTCAAGGCTCTTCAGAGAGTCCAACTTTTTCTGAATTAAAAATATGCTTTTGTTAGTTTTAAGCATCATTAGTATATTGAGATCATACACACATCTAGCAAGATATACTCATAATTTCAGTTTGGATTGGGAGGGGGAGAGAGATAAACAAAGCCATGTACTGAGCTGATACAGTATATTATTTCATGACATTCCCAAATTAAATATGAGTTCACAATGTAATTAACCTAACTTCCCTGAAAAAGAACAAGAATTTTGAAATTATCATATACATTTCTCATTTAGTCAAGATTATAAAGGAAGGTTATTATTTACTAATAAATCATTTTTAAAGAAATCCCTCTTCAATGTGAATTAATCTAAAGCCATTTCAGTTCATTTAAAGATCCCTTTCTGATCTTTGTGTGAAAAGAAAAACAAGATCAAGAAGACTATGCTGCCTGATGCCATCTCCTTGACATGTTACTTTAAAAAATAATAATATGAAGAGTCCCTTCTTCCCTATCCATGAGGGAACTTCTTTCTATCTCATACTGACCTCTTATATTCTAGATTGGATAATAGTAAAAGCAGACTGTGTATAAATATAACTTCCTCTTATTTTAATACATTATTCCGTATTAGTTAATATTTTAGGATGATTTGTAACAGTAACTTATTGTTGTCTGGCATCACAACTGACCTAAGCAGCTTTAACATTCTGATTTCTGATGAGGTAGAAAAACAATTTAAGAATTATAATCTACCAGACAAAAAGTGTCATCTAATCAGAAAGA